ATTTTTGACTTACAATATTTTCAATTTACAATGTATTTATTGGGAGGTACCCCCATAGTAGGTTGAGGAGCATCTATATAATTCTTTCCCACTTGGGATGATGAACATACAATGCAATATACAGATGATGTATATTGTACACCTGAAACCTATATAATTTTATTAACCAATGTTACCCAATAAATGCAATTAAATAAATAAATAAAATAACTACAGACCCTGCAGACATTAAAAGGTAATAAAAATATTATAAAAAACTTTGACAATAAAAATAACTTAGAAGAAGTAGACAAATTCCTTGAAAGACACAAATTTTCAAAACTGACTCAAGAAGAATTAGAAAACTTGAATAGTCCTATAGCAATAAAAGAAATTGAATTAATAATTAAAAACTTTCCCAATAAATAAAACTATGTCTAGGTAACTTAATCAATTAATTGTATTAAACATTTACCAGTCATACACAAACTCTTTCAGAAAACATAGAAGGAAAAATTAATTTCAAAGTCAGATTATAAGGACGAGGTTACCCTAACACCAAAACTATTACAAGAAAAGAAAACCACAGACCAATATCTTTCATGAATATAGATGAAAAATCTTTAACAAAATAGCATTAAGTTTAACCAAAAAAACTTTAATCATATTAATAAGCAAGAAAAATTATATGATCACTTTAATAGAAGCAGAGAAAGAATTTCACAAAACACTCATTCATAATAAAAACATTAAGCTAGCAAATAGGAACAGAAGGGATATTCTTAACCTTATAAAGGGTATCTACAAAAATCCTACAACAAACATACTTAATGATGAAAGACTGAATATTTTTCTCTTAAGATCAGGAACTAGGAAAGGATTATCATGCCCTACTAATATACATTGTTCTGGAGATCTTGTCCAGTGCAATTATGCAAGAAATCAAGGACATATAAGGGAAGGAAGAAGTGATACTACCTTTTATGCAAAGATGGCATGATTATGAATATAGAAAAATCCCAATAAATCGATAGAAAAGCTATTAGAACTGATATTTAAATTTAGAAAGTTCTCAGGATAAATAGTAAGTGTACCAAACAAATCTTATTTCTATACTGTGGTGATTTTTATCTTTCCACAAATTTTTTGACTGTGGGTTGATCATAATAATGTGCTTCTAATGAATAGAATGTGGTGGAAGTAACAGTATATGACTTTTGAGACTAGGTCATAATAGGCATTGCTGTTTCTGCTCTGTTCTTTTGGATCACTTGGTCTGGGGAAAGCCAGGCACCTTGGCATGGGAATACTCAAGCAGTCCTGTGGAGAGGCCCAAGTGGTGGGAACCAATTTGTCAGCACACCTTGTCAACCATGTGAGTCACCTTGGAAATGTATCTTCCAGCTTCAGTTAAGTTATAGAGAGTTCAGCCCCTCAGTCTGTGAGTCTTCCAAGGAGCCCCAGATATAGTGAAGTAGAAACATGCCATCCTTACTGTGCCCTAAATTCCTGATCCACAGAAACTATGAGATACTAAATGATCATTGTCTTTTCAAGCCACTAATTTTTTAGGGTGACTTGTTATGTAGCAATAGATAATAAATGCATATATATAAGCAATGAACAATTGAAATAAGGAGTAAAAAATTCAATTCTGATTACAGGAGCATCAAAAATTATTTAGGATTCAAATGAATTAAAAGTATGTAAGACCCATATACTAAAAACTATAAAACATTGTTCAGATAAAAGAAGATCTACATAAGTAGAGATACTATATTCATGGATTGGAAGACTCAGTATTAGTGACACTGATTTTCTTTGAATCTGTTGAAGGACTGCAGGCAGTTGAAATCAGTAGACCTTTGTGATGAGGTCTTCATACAGTGGTACTGGCTACCTTTTCAGTGGCTGTCATTCCCTATGGGATTTCTCTCCATCTCTTACTTCCTTCAACACTGTGGATGGTGTTCCTGGGGGTAGGGTTAGTGTGGGGCTTTTATCTTCCTTAGCCTTATCAGTTGTTAGGTAAAATAGCCCTTGCTATTCAAAACCCTTGTGAGGGATGGAAAACTTCTAGAACAACGTTATCCAGGGCCACCTTCCTTAGAGTTTTCAGAACCTCAGGCAAGTATGTCTTTCAGGACCTCTGCCTTTATAAACAATTACATTAAGAAATATATTCTAAAATTCATGGGCCTAGGTAAGATATAGTGATTTATTAATGGTAGAGAAAATGTATTTGTCCAATCAGTGCATGTAAAGATTCTTTATAGTGTCCAAGTATCACCTCTCTATATTATCTATCTCCCACCATGAGAAAAAGGTAGCAATACTGTTATTGCTCACAAAGCCACGACTCTGTAACCGACTTGTACTGAAACAACATGGATTTCTTTGCCTCTGCAGTTCCCTGTCACCATTTACTTAATGACTCTGCAATATCAATGGTGCCACCTGTGAATACTGGCTGTTATGACGGTCTCAAAGGTCTTTACTGTGATTTGTTAATAATGACCACAAATTCAAGTCTTACACAGAATGTTAAGAGAAATGTGAATGATTATTTATGGTCATTAAAGTTAAATTCAGAATTTTTTAGCATAAGCATAGATCAGCATATTTTCCAACTCTCTGCTCTTGCCTCTTTCAGCCGTAACCCTTGCATTCCTAGTCTGTGATCTCTTTACACACCTCCACCTTTCACACACCCCCACCAGTGGGCACAATTAGCTGAGAGCCTGTGGGCAGAGCCAGAAGAGCAGTTCCAATCGCACAAGGAATATCCAAGCAGGTTAAGACTGGCCTGTGACAGTGGGAGGCCACCTCATTAACTAAAGGCATGAAATCTGTTGAAAGGCTCATTTGTGCTGTGGAGCAAGTTGCTCCAAAGCCCTTGTAGGGGCCCGGCCCAGCTCTCCCCAGAGGATTGCAGCGGGATGAGGTGACAGCAGTGGAGCACACAAACCGAAGATCAATAGTCACTTCCCCTGCTGCCCTTGGGTGCAGTAGAAGGAAGGTGGCCCTGCAATGAGAACACATGCTGAAGCCCAAGGGTAAGCATGACCTCGGGTAGCTTAGAGCCCAGAACACATGCTGTTTCTGACGTGAGACTCACCCAAGCTCATCATGTTACCAACATTCTGTCAGCTCAATGATATAAAAATTACACTCTGAGCGCCAGCAGCAAGGATCATTCACCAGGACCCCCTCATACTCCTCATGGCATCTTGTTGAACTTGCCTGTGGGTGTGGGTAGAGGGAAAAAGCTCCCCCAAATGAAAGATACAGAGACGAGGACCCACATCGGGGCCTGTCTGAGCTTGGCCCCACTTGGATGGCATTACCATGCTGGCTGGTCTTAGGTACTAGAAAGATCTTTAGAAAATTTCTGGAAAGGTGCTTCCTAAATTAGGTACACATGACACACTGGCTGCAGCCAGGATGCCCCAGTACTTCTAGCCTGCCTGGTCTCAGGGGGCTGGAGGGGGAAGGCAGCTGGAAATTCACTGGCCAGGCTTAAGAGCACTGTGGAGGTTATCAGCACCTGGTGTACTTTTGGTATGCTTTTGACTTCCGCAGGACATTTCATGTTAGCATCTTTAGGTGAAACCATTTCCCCAAGGGTAAAGGGAAACAGATGAAAAAAGACTGAGCCTATGAAGCTACTGAATCACTTAAATCCTTTCTAGATTAAGATGGGGTTATTATAGTAATGCATTTCCTTGGCCGAACCACCTCTGTTTGCATGGAGTCAGTTGGGGTTCTGGTGCACACGGAGCATGAGATCGGCTTAGATAAGTCTGGGTGTGCTGGGGACAGTAAATCCTTTTGTAATATTGATGAATGTATCGCAAAGGATTACTGTTGTTCCTTCTATTCCTCTGTGCTGGAGTACAATTTTGGGAGTGCTCTTCTGGCAATTCTTACTAGGTAATTATCCCGCAAGTATTCTGGCTAGGACAACAGGAGCACATAGAAAGTCATAACGAGCGATAAATAGATATGACAGGTGGTTGGTATAACTACCCTACAAGTTACAGATATGTAATTAAAGGTCAAAAGTGCCCAAATCACATCCTCCTTAGACTCTCAGGTGTTTGGTAAGAATTTCCCCCTTGCCTTTGCTCATGATGTTTCCTGAAGAGGTTGCAAATCTGCAATTGAGGAGGCAATTCCAGCTAGCAGATGTACTTTCTTGGGATCAAATAGTGGGTTTTGTTTTTTTCTTGAGAAGTTGGAGGATCTGGAAACACTGATCTTCACATTGCTGGTGACAACAGTCAGTGGGAGCTGAGCAGTTGGCCTCCTTTCCAGTAATAATATTACTCTTATCTGTATTGTATTTATCTTGTCAGTGTCACATTTATAAGCTTACACATTCATTCAACAAAAATGTATTAAGTACTAAGGGTGCACACACTAGGTTAGGTGCTGTGCATACTGCCATGAATAAGAGAAGCAGAGACAGATCCTCAAGGAAATAAGGGGAGCAGGATCTGTCTTGCTCATCTTTGCTTCCACAGCAGAGCATAGAAAGAGCCTTGTACGTAATAAATAACTCAGTTGCATTTGTTGAAGTAATTTTTGTCAACTCTATTAACTAAGTTTATGTCATTCTATTTATTTTTATTTTTTTAAAATATATTTTTATTGATTTCAGAGAGGAAGGAAGAGGAAGAGAGCAACAGAAACATCAATGATGAGAGAGAATCCTTGATTGGCTGCCTCCTGCATGCCCGCTACTGGGGATTAAGCCCACAATCCAGGCATGTGCCCTGACTGGGAATCAAGCCTCTATCTCCCAGTTCATGGGTTGACACTCAACCACTGAGCAACACTGGCTAGCCTATGTTATTCTATTAAAAAAGCATTAAAGCCATATTTCTTCAAAAAGCATTCTGAAAATTAAATTTCATTAATGTTTATTAACCACTAAACACTTCTCCCATTCCAGTTACTTTGAATCACCAGGGTTTCATCCTGAAATAGTACTCAGATGTCCCTCTAAATTTATTTACCTGGGTAACTGCTGAAAGAGAGGCGACTACTGCTGGTGTCTTTATCTTTGATGTTGAAGTCCCAGTGTTTATATATCCTGAGCATGGCTGCATATGTGTACCAGCTTGAGTGAGCAAAATAGATGTTCTCAAATCCAGGAAGAACCTATAGTCAGAAACATAGTGAATGATATAGATAACTGACTACAAGTAACATACAGATATTTGTCATAAATGATTAACACAACTGTGACACAAATTGACACCATCCTATATAGCAGCGGTTCTCAACCTATAGGTCACGACCCCTTTGGGGGTCGAACGACCCTTTCACAGGGGTCGCCTATATACATCCTGCATATCAGATATTTACATTACGATTCGTAACAGTAGCAAAATTACAGTTATGAAGTAGCAACAAAAATAATTTTATGGTTGGGGGTCACCACAACATGGGGAACTGTATTAAAGGGTCGCGGCATTAGGAAGGTTGAGAACCACTGCTATACAGTAAGTGTACAGGGAGATATATATCGATAACTGATTACAAGTGAAACAAGTGTACAGGATATGTCAATTCAGGTGTCTATTGCTATATTTATTACCGGAAATTAACCTTTAATGTGCACAAAAAAGACTCTGAGCTAGCAGCTAAATGGAAGATTCTGGAAAGTGGGAGTGGTACGTACATACAGCATGGGAAGAATGGTGGAAGGAACAGAGGTAACATCATGTACAGCCAATTCCCTCCATCAGTTCCTTCTAGTCCTTAAAGTCCACAATAGAGGAACCCATGAGCTGATCTATAACTACAGCCCTAGCAGTGATGAGATGTTGACATACTTGGGTGTCATACGGAAAAAGTCTGTGTGGACCAGAACCAGGAAAAAGAGAAAGGCTGTTGTGTGTCTCACCTTGATAAGAGCAGAGCAGTGTCCCTGGTCCCATCTCTTAAAAACATCCAGGCTGGAGTTTTTTGTGTGAGAGAATGAGGGAATCAGATCCAACAGATCTCCAACAGCATTCAGGAACTGAATCTGGAACAGGGTCATGGGCTGGGAAAAGACAGAGTGCGCTCTTAACACTGATTTGTAACAGGTGTCATTTTCTATTGTTTCTCTCATTAGGGACCCATTAAATCATTCCTTTGTGAAGGGTCTCTAATGTAACAGGTGCACTAGATTTTATTATAAATGATGATTTTCTTAACGTTATAGCTTATGAGGTATTTTAGCATGTTTTAATATCCACAGTCTGGGGAGATTCTCCCAAGACAGCATGCCTCTCCAGGTTTTTTCAGTCTTGGCACTAGTGATAATAATTCTTTCTTGGGCGGGGGTGGGAGGGGGCTGTGCATTGCAGGATGTTTAACAGCATCCCTGGCCTCTAGCCACTACACATCAATAGCACCTCCTAGTTCTGACAACCAAAACTGTCTCCAGGCATTGCCCAATACTCTCTGGAGGGAAATCGCCCCTAGCTGAGAATCACTGCTTTACAGTAAAAACAGTCAACTAAGATGCTTTTGATTCTGTGTTTAACATAGAACTGTCTTGACAGCATTAACCCTCAAGCAATGATCAGACTTGAACATGAACTTTGTGCTAACTAGACAGCATTGCTCCAGCAAGATTCAATCCACCAGAGTAGCCCAGGGCTGGGCATCTACATACAAACTGGTTTTCAGGAACAGGTGGTGGGAGGACAAACATAAAAGACATTTTAAACACAAAAACAAAAGTCCCAATCTAATTATTCAACTTTAAAAATTATAGGGTCTTCACTGATTTTTAAAAAAATCTTTATTGTTTGGGGGTGGGGGCGGCCTGGGAGAGGTCAGTGGGAGGAAAAGGAGACTTATGTAATACTTTAAACAATAAAGAATTTAAATTAAGAAATATTGTTGAGAGTATTACAGATGTCCCCCCACCACCACCACCATTGCCTCCCTCCACCCAGTTCCTGCCCTGCCCCAGGTCTTCAACACCCTACTGTTTGTGTCCATAGGAAATACACATATGTATATAAGATCTTTGGTTAATCTCCCCCCCTGCCCCCTTTCCCTCTGAGATTCATCAGTCTATTCCATGTTTCCATGCCTCTGATTCTATTTTATTCATTAGTTTATTTTGTTCATTAGATTCCGTGTATTTTGATTTTTAGATTAAATTGTTAGATATGTATTTGTTGTCATTTTATTGTTCATATTTCTTCTTCTTCTTCCTTCTCCCCCTCCTCCTCCTCCTCCTCCTCCTCCTCCTCCTTTTCTTCTTCCTCTTCTTCTTCTTAAAGAATACACTTCAACATTTCATGTAATACTGGTTTGGTGGTTATGAACTCCTTTAGCTTTTCCTTGTGTGGGAAGCACTTTATCTGACCCTCAATTCTAAATGAGAGCTTTGCTGGGTAGAGTGATTTTGGTTGTAGGTCCTTGCTTTTCATTACTTTGAATATTTCTTGCCAATCCCTTTAGGCCTGCATCATTTCTGTTGAGAAATCAGCTGACAGTCTTATGGGAACTCCCTTGTAGATAACTAACCACTTTTCTCTTACTGCTTTTAAGATTCTCTCTTTGTCTTTAACCTTTGGAATTTTAATTATGATGTGTCTAGGTGTGGTCCTCTTTGGATTCCTTTTGTTTAGGGTTCTCTGCGCTTCCTGGACTTGTAAGTCTATTTCTTTCACCAGGAAGGGGAAGTTTTCTGTCATTATTTCTTCAAATAGGTTTTCAATATCTTGCTCTCTCCCTTCTTCTGGAACCCCCATAATGTGAATGTTGGTATGCTTGAAGTTGTCCAGAGGCTCCTTACACTATTTTCATATTTTTGGATTCTTTTTTCTTTTTGCTCTTCTGGTTGGGTGTTTTTTGTTTCCTCACGTTTTTCATATATCTTTAATAAAATAGCTTCTTAAAAATCTTACCTTTTCCCCTTTTAATACAGCCTTCTTCATTGCTCCTAGATACAGCCCATCCATTTGTGCCATTACATAGCCTGTATGTCTCCAAAATGGGTCATCCTTATAAGATTTGATGTTATTCCGTGTCCACTGATCTTGCTTCCTGAAAGACAAATTAGATTTGTACTATAGGTCTCTATGGTTGCTCATCAAAAGCTAAGTTAAACCCAGGCATTTAGAGATAATATATTCAGATAATTATGATAGTATAATTTAAACCCTGGATCTTGTAACATTCCTGATAGTCTTTGAAAGACTATCAGGGAAAATCTGAAATGATTTTTAATTCCCCCTGGAACTATGACGCTTTCTTTAGAGCTCCCTCAAAGCTCTATCAGGAACCGAAACACAGGTGTAATGTTATCTATCTGTGATACTGAGACCTAAGAAAGTCAAGGATAGACAGTCCAAACTCATTCATATAAAATCATAACACCTCATTAAATCAGTAAGGATAAGTTCACTTTACTTTGGTGTATACAAGAGATAAAGTTAAACAGCAGGAAAAAATAAAAACTCCTTAAGGGCTGGATCATTTGCATATGTTTATTTTTCATTCAGATCATTTCATAGTTTCTGCTTCATTCTATTTCAATTGTTGCCAGTAACTGCCTCAATGCCTCTGTCCTGGCATGCTTAGCAAAAAAAAAAAAAAGAAAAGAAAAGAAAAAGCCTTGTTTTTCATAGTGCTTTCATTGTGTCTCTCCTCTTTTACTAGTAGTTCTCTGCACTTCATAGGGGGTGATTTAACATAACTGTATACTGGAAGTCATTTCTGATTTGTTTGAGTTACGTCTAGATCAATTTTTTAGAATACAATGTTATTACTTCATGGGATCTAGCCCAATGCTTTTTAACTGATGCTCTGTAGGACTTCAGCAGGCGATAAAGAGGTTCCTTAGTGTATAAATTGGAGGACAATATTAGAGCTCTTCTATCCCCAAATTAATTTCATAGCCTGTCATCCCACAAACATATACATTTTCTGAATATTGAGAATTATTAGCCTTCAGAAAATTTTATTAAAGTGGAAATATTCTCAGAGAACATTAAGAATTAAGACTTTAGTTATGAGCTAACACTCCAGCTCAGATTAGTCAACTGGCTGGTGAAAAGGAAGCACCTTACAGAGGGAGGAGGAGGAATCCCTGCAGGAAAGAGAGGGGCCTCCCAGGGAGGGAAACGATCCAGGGATTTGATTTTGCCTCTTTTCACTGATGGTGTCCTCCCCAGCTGTGCCAGCAATCGACAATGTGATAGTCAACCTGACCTCCGAAAGGGCCCAAATTACAGGGCATGTTGTCTGCAACCAGTTTTCACGCTGTTACTAAAAGGTAATTACCTCACTACAAGAACACAACTGCAGAGTCCTGCCTCAGAGACAGAAAAAGAAACTGGCGAAGGAAAAATCACTGTTTGAAATGACACAGCCACATCTTGCAGCCTCATAACAATGAGAAGAGAAAAGCTGTTATACATACTTCATGAACTCCTGCACTTTATCCACGATGGAAGGTTTCTTAATCAGCTGTGGGTAGAGGTTTATGAAGTGGTCATATATGTGCCTGAAATGAAAGATCAAAATGGTTACATTCCTATTTTTCTTCTTGGGTTTCTCCATCATAATCAATGAGCCAACCTTTTAGCTAACTAGGATGTCCCTTATTGCAAACCTCTAATATTTTTTTTAATAAATCAAACACACAGTTTAAAATTGGGAAATATTGCCAACTATAGAAAAACATAGAATATAACACTCAAGTATCCATTATATAACTTTATTAAATCACTCTATTTTGCCATATTTACTGCATCTATATTTTTCATTATATAATTTACTTTTTACTTGCATTTATTTTTTATTAAATTTATTGCTGCATATATTTTTAAATAGAAATAAACTTTAGATAGACTTAAAGTCACTGTGCACACCTTCCTGACGCTAATTACTCTCCCTTCTCCCTGGAGGTGACTACAATCCTGAATCAGTGATTTATTATACCATCATGTTTTTATACCATCACTACATATAGATGTATCCAAAAACAATGTATAGTATTATTTATCATGGTTCAGAACAAAGTATAAGTAAGATCATATTATCTATCACTTTAACTTATTTCTCTCAATATTGCATTTTTAAAGAAATATCTATGTTGTCATCTGCAGCTTAAATTTATTCTTTTCATCTGCTGGTAGTATTCCATGGTATGACTACTGTAACAATTCCTGTATACATACCCCTGATGGACATTTAACTGGTTTTTAATTTTTCACTATCATAATGTATCATCAAATATTGCTGTAAAATGTCTCTTTTTACACATTTGGATGTTCTTCTAGGCTATGTAAAATATATAAAAGTAGAATTGCTGCCGAAACCGGTTTGGCTCAGTGGATAGAGCGTCAGCCTGCGGACTGAGAGGTCCCGGGTTCGATTCCGGTCAAGGGCATGTACCTGGGTTGCGGGCACATCCCCAGTGGGGGATGTGCAGGAGGCAGCTGATCAATGTTTCTAACTCTCTCTATCTCTCTCCCTTCTTCTCTGTGAAGAATCAATAAAATATATTTAAAAAAAAAAAAAGTAGAATTGCTGGGGCAAATATTCTAAGTATCTACAGTGACTAGATATTGCCAAGTTGTTCCCCACAGTGACTGTACCAATTGACATTCCCACCAGCTACATATTAGACTTCCCCTTGCTCCACAGCCTCACCAACATTTGATATGGTCAGATCTCATTTTCAACAATTTAGTGGGTTTTAAATGGTTTCTTGTTGTTTTAATTTCCATTCACCACAGGATTATTGGGTATTTGGTATTCCTTATTTTAAAAATTACTTTAAAAAGTTAAATGTCTCATATGCTTAAACATTTTTATTGAGATACAATTGACATGTAACATTTTATAAGTTTAAGGTATACAACATGTTGATTCGATCCACTTATCTATACTAATAAAAGGGTAATATGCTAATTAGACCAGATGTCTTCCTGACTTCCAGACAAAGCCGCAGCGGCTGCTGCTGCGAGGGCCAGGCCGAGGCTCAGGCAGCCGCTGTGGCCGGCAGTGGCAGTAGCAGTGGTGTGATGGGGGCATTGCCTTCTCCTGATGGGCCGGTCACCTCCTGCATAGGGAGGCCAGACTGCAGCGTAGGCCCACTCCCTGCCAGGACTGGGCCTAAGCCGTCAGTAGGACATCCCCTGAGGACTCCCGAACTGTGAGAGGGGGCAGGCTGGGCTGAGGGACCCCCCCCCTCCCCCTGTGCACGAATTTTCGTACACCAGGCCTCTAGTATATTATAATATGATTACCACTGTGGTGTTAGCCAACACCTCTATCAGGTCACATAATTATCACTTCTTTTTTTGTAGTGAGAACAATTAAAATATAGACTTTTAGCAACTTTGATTTTATAATACAGTGTTGTTGACTATAATCGCTATGCTGTGCATTAGATCTCCAGAATTTATTTATCTGCTAGTTGCAAGCTGGTCCCCCTAACAACATCTTACAATTTGACACTTTTTTTTTTTAATATATTTTATTGATTTCCCACAGAGAGGAAGGGAGAGAGACAGAGAGCCAGAAACATCGATGAGAGAGAAACATCGATCAGCCGCCTCCTGCACATCCCCCACCGGGGATGCGCCCGCAACCCAGGTACATGCCCCCGACCGGAATCGAACCCGGGACCCCTCAGTCCGCAGGCCGACGCTCCATCCACCGAGCCAAACCGGTCTCGGCAATTAGACACTTTTTAATTGATGAAAATAATCCATTAACATTTACTGTAATTTTTGTATATTTGGATTTATTTCTACAATCTTTTCTGTTTTCCATTTACCATCCTTTTGTTTACCCCCCCCCACACCTTTTATTTTCTTTGCTTAGATAATATTTTCATTATCTTTTTCTTAACTTCTATTGATTTAGAAGCCATAAAAGGTATTTCTATTCTTTCAGTAGTCATTGAAATTTTAAAAACCATTTTTAATTATTCATTTCCTTATAAAGTCTAAGTGAATTTCATATTTCTCTCCTCCTCCAAACATAATGCATATTTTAGCAAGCTTTAACTGCCTATTGACATCCCCCATCATATTATTGTTCAAAGATTTAGGTTTGCTTCTTTTAGTTAAAAAATATATTTCTATTTAAATTGTTTTCTAATTTTTAACTTTTTAAAACTTCTCACCCAAGGATATGTTTTTATTGATTTGAGTGAAAGAAAGTGAGGGAGGGAGGGAGGAAGAGAAAGAGAGAAACATGGTTGCCTCCCATACACACCCCAACCAGGGACTGAAGCTACAACCTATGTGCCCTGTCCAGGAATCGAACCCGCAATCTTTTTGGTATACTGGAGGATGCTCCAACCAACTGAGCCACCCAGTTGGGGCTCTAATTTTTAATTTTTATTTATTTATTTATTTATTAAAGGGGAGAATGATTTTTTTTTATTTTTTTAAAAATATTTTTATTGATTTTTTACAGAGAGGAAGGGAGAGGGATAGAGAGTTAGAGACATTGATGAGAGAGAAATATCGATCAGCTGCCTCCTGCACACTCCCTACTGGGGATGTGCCTGCAACCAAGGTACATGCCCTTGACCAGAATCGAACCTGGGACCCTTGAGCCCGCAGGCTGACGCTCTATCCACTGAGCCAAACCGGTTAGGGCTAATTTTTAATTTTTAAAGTAAAATTTTATTCTTTGTTTAATGGAAGTCTGTGGGTGGTCAAACACTTCCCTTTATATGTTTGAAAATATCCTTTGGGACCTAAAGTCTTTGTTAAAATGTTCTATGAAATTAATGTGGAGTGTATTCATGATATTATTGTTGACGTTTTCTTAGTATTCAATTTGTATATTTTGGAACTTTGGTGTGCAGGCATTTTTATTTGTTTGAGACTCCCTCCCCCGCTTAGTGCCTCTCTCTGACTCCCTGAGAACTAGATCTTCGAGTGACTTTTGGGAACTTCTTTCCTATGGAATACAGCAGCCGTATCTGTAATTGAACCAGCACATGGATGATTTGGTTCTAGATTTCCCCACCCCCTTCTCCAAGCTCATAGTTTCTTGTAAATCTGTAGGTTAGGATGCACATCTATAGAGGTTATTCTGTGGCTGCCTAGTTTATAAACAGTCAAAAGTAGCAAGGAAACTTCCGCTTCCTAGCTGTGACTCAGCTCACTCAGAGCACTGAGGCCTTCACCCATCAGCAGCGGTGGCTGCCTCTGCCTGCTTCAGAACAAGGCCCAGCAGATCCATACTTCGTCACTTTGTTTTCTGTTCCACTTCTTGGTCAAGAGATGCTTAATCTAGCTGTATTTCTCTTTCTATATATTTTATCTCTTATTTGCTGTAAGTTTGGAGCAAAATCAGTCAAATTGTGAACCCCTTATACTCTCTGGAGTATAAGGAAGTTAACTTTGTTTATGTCCATTAGCCTATGGTAAAATTGGTTTCCTAATTCATTTCATTGCAGTTCCAAGAACCTATCGCTGAAAGTACTTACTATAGTTTCCAGAACTGAAACTGATAGAGTGAGAATATAGTTTTATTGCCAGTTAGGTAAACAATATTAAAATCCTTTGAACTCTTTTATTTTATGGTCCTTGAACTCAGCAAACTTTACTTCACGAGAGCTTTCCCTTCAAATTATTTGTAAATATATTTTTTTAAGTTGAATGATCACATTGAACTTTTGTTTATGTATCTTTTATATTGCCACATCTAATCTATGATCAAGTTAGTCACTTTTCCCTGTCTACCACCTCTACAACTGGAGGAGAGAATAGCAAGAAAGCTAGACAGGTGTGTGGGTGACAAGGAAGGACTGCTCTGCCCTGATCTCACACTCCAGGTGAATGAAATGCAGAAATTCCAAATGAATTTGATGACTTGATGTAGCTGCTTAGGGAGGCTACAGACCTACAGTATCCCACTCCAAGATTGCATGGGGAAGTAGAGATGGCTGTCTGGGCTCATGAGCCAAACATAGCACCCCTAAACACCTCCATGAGTTTTGGAGCATAGCCAAATGATGTGTGTGTGTGTGTGTGTGTGTGTGTATGTGTTTATATGGCCTAGGGTGAAATAAGTGGACACTGGGGGCTAATGGACCTGGTTGGGCAGAGGACTTATACTTGTGGTGAATATTGCAACCTCAAATGGCACTGATTATGCAGCTGGAGACCATGGAATCTTCATCAGATGTCAGATAGGGAAACATCTAAGCCAAAGACTAAGTGAGATTGTTTCCCTTGGGTAGATGCCAGAGAAAGACACAGGACACCCACCGATTAAACATCTCCCCCTCCCTCCAAGAAGCCTCAGTAAGACCACTCCATTCTGAGAAAAAGTAGGAAATTCTGAATTGACTCAGCTGAAATGATAAATTATTTTGTTTATATGGAATGACTATGGTAACATTTTGCTAGGTATCAGAAGGAATGGGCTCTTTTAAAATGATTTATGTGAAAATAAAATAATATTTCTTGGAAAAAATAATTTGTGGGCTATTGACTTACCATGCTCTCTCAGGTAAGGAAACAAAAAATC